TGTGTGTGTGTAATTCATGGAAATTCAGTTACTCAGGTGTTGTGTGATGGTGTCGTTCTGGGTGAACACACCTCTGAGTGAATTATCTTCCCATTAGCATTTACATGGGTAAATTTGGGTTCTGGAGGGAGGCCTGAGGAGCATTTTGCTTGGTCGCAATTTATTGTATTCCATCAGTGGAAAGAAGACAGTTCTGATTTATTTTTTTTTCCTGAGCTGTGAAGCTTTTCTCTTACCTGCATTTCTACAAAAGCTCTACCCATATACTGTTTTGGTAACAGTGCTTTTCAGATCTGAAGTGGGGCCTGTAATTCCAGTTCTGTGTCCTTGCAGAGAGCAGGTGTGGTGCAGTGAATGAGCAGAAGCTGGGAGGCAGTTCCTGGAGTGTTGAGTGCTGGTCTCACCTCAGAAAGCCACGGGGTGACAGCCAGCATGGGCAGCACATCCATCACAACGGGGCTGCTGTAAGGGACAGGCTTGGCACAGCCTCTCCAGCAGGCTGGGAAACCCTGCCAGCGTGGAATGAGGAGCTTTCCTCTCTTTTGTAGTGCAGGCAGGCTGGTGTGCCTGTGCTCTGGCTGTGTGCTCACTGTCTGGGTGAGCCTGTGCAAAACCTCCCTGTTCCTGCCTGGAAGGCTGTGCTGACAGTGCTGGTAAATGCTGTCAGTGTGCTGTGCTCTCCCTCAGCTCCAGAACAGGCTGCAGGGTGTGTTTCAGTATCTGTGTCTGGAGTCCCTCTCCTCTCAGGTGACATCCCAGCCCCACCTGGACACGTTCCTGTCACCTGCTCTGGGTGAACTCCAGGGATTCCTTCCCATCTCATCTATGCTTCTGTGATTACATCAAGTGATAAATCATTTCTTCAATTCTTAGAGAGCATTCTAACATCTCTCAGCTGGGTTTTAAGCCGTGGGACACTGTTACAGCACTGTTACAAATGGCACTGTAAGCCAAACCAGAACTGTTCAGGATTTTACTTCTGTCTTGTCCTGTGCATGTGAAACTTGAGTGCCCCTAACTCTAGTGTCTTCCTGCAATTCCCAGGATGAAAATCTCCTCCCTAGGAAATATTTTGAAGTGGATTTCCCAATGATCGTTGCAAGAAAAATACACAATATCAAGTAAGTCTGTGTTCAGCTGTGGGGACTGGCTGTCAGTCAGGGCCATTATTTCATCTCTGCTGAGAAACTTTTCATGGTCTGGGGTGTGAGGGTGGGCAGGCCCTGGCACAGGGTGCCCAGAGCAGATCCTGGATCCCTGGCAGTGCCCAGGGCCGGGCTGGACAGGGCTGGGAGCAGCTGGGACAGGGGAAGGTGTCCCTGGGACAGGGGAAGGTGTCCCTGCCATGGCACGGGTGGCACTGGATGGGCTCTGAGGTGGTTTCCCAAACCATTCCAGGACTCATGGTGCAGGCAGGCTCTGCAGCCCCTGTCCCAGGCTGCAGAAGGGGGTGGGTGAAAGCTTTGGGGAGGACAGCCCTGAATTCCCAGATGTGTTGAGTTGGAAGCAGAACAGCTGGGAGTGTCCTGTTGGAATGAATCCATCCGGGGTTATTGAGGGGTTGTTATAATGCCTGGATTTCTCTTGAAAGGTTCTCTCAGAGTTAAAGAAATTGTGTATAAAAGTCAGCTCCTAATTCACCAGGCTTGCAAAGGTTTTCCTTTCCAGCAGAGGGCAGAGATATTCCCTCAGCTGCTCTTGGCACACACACACAGACACACACACACATATATATATATATATATGTTAAGAAAAAAGCTGTAAGCACTCTGTTCAACAGGCTTAACTGCTCTGAGATGCTTCTTCCTTCTTCCCACAGATCAAAACCTCCCCTGTCAAAACCAATTATGGAATCCCATTCAGGGGACTCTCTTCTAATAGGTGAGTCATCTTCAAACTCAGTCAGTGATGTACTGCAGCACTTTTAAAACTTTTCTGATCATTTTGTTCTGCTATGTGGGCAGGCTTTTAATGTTTGAAATGCTGTTTGGACAGAGAATTGGGAGGGAAAAGAGGTTTTTTTCTTCTCTTACAGACTCCTGCCCATTTGTTCTGTGTCATGTTAGAAATGTCTTCTCTTTAAGTGGTTTTATTCTGGCAGAAAGTTGTTGGGTTTTTTCTTTTTCTCTCATATGTAGCTCCTTTTCTGTCACAGGAAAGGAAAAAGTGCTACAGAGAGGCATGGATACTGGATTAAAATATCTGTTGAGTGTTTATCTGCTTTCTGTCTCATTAAGAGCACAAATCTTTACATTTAGCAGAGTTTTCACAGCAGAAACACAGCCTGCACAGTCCAGGCCCATGAGCCCGTGCTGTTTGATACATTTTAGTGTTAAAAGGATAACAATTTCAGGTGGTGTGAGATGCTGTAGTCTCTTGGTTTGTACCCTCATCAGGGAACAGAAGGTTCTGGGCTCCCATCCCTGGAGTGTCCATCCTGGCCATGGCTTGGGGCACCCTGGGACAGTGGAAGTGTCCCTGCCATGGCAGGGGTGGCACTGGGTGATCTCTAAGGTCCCTCCCAGCCCAAGTCATTCTATAATTGTGTGTTTGTGTCAGGACTGCACCTGAGAACCTTTTAACCTGTGGAAAACTCCCTGGGTTCCATTGAGTTCATGTTCTCAGCGCAGGTGCTGAGCTGCACCAACTGTCCTGTGCCAGAGTGTGCCAGAGAAATGGCACAGTGGTGGTGGGGAGGGAATGGCTCTCATATGGATGAGGAGCTGGGATGGAGGGCGAGCATATGCTGTTCATTTTTGTTCTGGAGGAGAGGGAGATCTGTGCTTGAGGGTATGTTGTTGTTCAACACTAAGGAAAAATTGGGAAAATAGTGATTAGTAAGTGGCAGCTTGTTGGCAAATCTAAACTCTGAAGAGTGGTAAAGAACTGCAGAAGTATCTTGTGAAATTAGTGACTTGATGATGATTTCAATGTGGATTAATAGAAAGTGATGCACATGGGGGGGAAAACAGTTTGTGCCTCACATGTAAATGATTATTGCTGCCTTCCTGCAGGATCTGGGTATTAGAATAAATAGATGGATGAAAGCACGAGCTCAGTAATGGTCCAGAAATACAAAGCAATTCTAAATACTTTTGAGAAAAAGCTGGAAAACAACTTGGGTGCCAGTGTTAGTAGATGTTCCCTCTCTTTGACTTTTCCCTTGGGAGCTGCTGTTGGCCTCTGGAAGGGTGGGATCATCCTGGGGAGACCTCTGGTCTGACCTGGTATGGTGTTAGACCTGCAGAATTGTGGGATTTCCACTGGCACAGGGAGCAGCATTGCCAGGTGGGGAATTGCTCAGGATTTTGGAGTCCTGTCCCTATATCTGCCTCCCCACTTCACTCCTGGCTCTGCACACCAGGAATGGTTTGTTTAGGCTGTTTGGAATCCTGGTTTGAGCTGTGCTGGTTCTTTCAGCTTCCCTCCATCCCCAGAGGTTCTTGTGGCCAGTGTGGGTGTCAGGGGACGTGCAGGGCTCACCCTGGGCTCCCAGGACAAGCTGAGAGCGTGGCAGTGCCTGCTGGGCTGTGGGTGAAGCTGGGGCTGGGCAGAGCAGGCTGCAGGGGCTGCTGCTCTGGAAAGCTGCACGCATACCTGAGCATGAACATCCCAATGGAATCACTGGAGTCAATATATCCTGCATGCTGCCTCTTGGAGAAGCTCCAGGAGATTGTTGCACTAATGAGAGAAGGAAGCTGGGTTGTTGTGGCAGAGGCAGAGCTTGGTGTGCCTGGAGGCTGCAGGGCTGCCCCACAGCTGGGTCAGGGCAGCACACAGGGCCTGGGGCCTCCCTCTGCACAGCAGCAGGTCTAACACAGCTGGAAGAAAAGATTCAACATGCTCAGGTCAAAAGGCAGCTCTAAGCAGCTCCTGCTACTACTCAGTTACTGCAGGCTTGTCTTGCTCTGTGCCTGTGAAATCTGAACCACTTGTGTTGTTCCTGTGGCCAGAGCCATGGACAATAACCACACAGTGTGTGCCCAGGGCAGAGCATTCTCTCTTGGTCATCCCTGGACAGCTGGACCTGTGCCCTGGCTGGGGTAGGTGGGGTGGGGGGCTCATCTTTCCCCCTTCCCCATCCCCTCCCTTGTAGTTCTCCAGTTAAATCTGAGTTTGGTGTTTCTCAAACCTTCATTCAGCCAAGAACAGAGAGAATCTTTGTACAGGGTGAGGGTGAGCATCACACAGAGCCCAGGGCAGCTCTAGAGGAGAGCACCCAGCCAAACAACCTCACTAAACCCAACCAACAACCTCACTAAACCCA